TTATTCAGTAATAACTGTGAATTAATAATGTTTTGGATGATATATCATGCATAAAATCATGTTATAACTAGATAATTTTATTAATATAAAGCCTTTTTTTTCTATGTTTATTGATTTTTTTAGTTTTTAAAGGCGTAAATGCGATAAAAATATTTTTGAAAAAAAGAAAGATGATGATACAGAAAATTGTTATTGTTCCAAAAACTTTCTTAGATATATGACTTGTCGGAAATTCTCTTATTTATCTTCGATATCGTTTCTTGTTTGAGGGATTTAGTGGCAAATTGAGACTTGTTTCAGACTTCAGTTCCTATGTCATGTATATTTAACATTACTATGCATTTCGCTGAATTGTATTGATGTAAAGATACAAAAAAAAACAAAAAAACAGAAAAAAAATCGATATTAAAAATATTTTAAAATCCATTTTTAAGTTTTGTGTATATTATACACATATATTTCTAAAAAATATCCGATAGTTTCAATATATATAAAGGTAAATTTTAATATTGCATCTTCCTAACAGGTCTATTAGAAAAGTATATTAAAGAGAAGGCGTAGAAAAAGTGTACAAAAATTAACAGTAAAATAGTTATTAATAAGTTTTTGTAGATTTATTTCTTAAAAGAACTTTTCTCTTATATCCAAAGATGCATTTTGAATCTTTTTCTTATGTAGAAATAGTTTATCGTCTATACAAAATTTGATAAATCTCCTTAATAAAGAGTAAACAAAATTAAAATATTAAGCCAGTTATTCTGAACAGAATTCCTGTATTATAGAGTTATATATATATATATATATATAAAACAGAAAGTATTTACATTATTGTATAAGCTTGACGTATTAATCATAACTTATCTTAGATAAAAATCTATGTGATGTAAAATTTGTATTTTGTAATATCCGGTATAATGCCCTCATTTTAAATAAATGTGGCATTGTGTGTGCAGTTCATTATGGTCAAAAAGTCGAAATTCAGGACAACTACTTCCAGGGATTTCTTGATTGAAATTTCTGCCTGGAATACATCAATAGAGAAATACCCTAGTGAAGTAATGCATTACTCATTTTTAGTACAACGATACTTTTTTAACTTTACAATCGTTATTCTTGTTCTAAACTAACAAGAGCCTTCTATTTTTTACATTCCAAACGGAACCTTTAACTCTTAATTCACTCAATAATACCAATTTAATGATGTGGATTATTAAGGGGTGGCCCAAAAGTCTGTTAACCACTGTACCAGTGGTTAACCGACTTTTGGACCACCTGTCCTATTCATATACAAAATGCTATTTTATTCGAATACTTTAATGTTTGTAAACTTGCAAATAGTACAAATGACACAAATTTTTACAAGTATACCTTGACATAGACTGTTAACTAACTAGTCACCTTATACAGTATACAAGTCTATAAATTGGTTATTAAATAAATAAAACAATTTGAATTAGTTAGCATTAATGTAAATAAGATTTAAAATAACTTATTAATATTTGTAAAGAATTATGATTTAAGTATGGTGTTAGTTGTTAAAAATGTAAGTATTTTTAATGTCTTCTCTATGGAAAATATTCTGCTATTCTTTGAATCAAGTTCATTGTGTGCCTTTGTTATTCTGCTAAGAAAACGTTCTTTTATGTTTTCTATCTGACAGGGAAATTCGATATTTGTGAGAATTATTATAAGGATAAAGAACTATCTATTCCTAACATTCCTCTTACATCCACCCTATAGTGTTAGAATTAGAAAGTGATTCTTTCCTCAATTCCTCGTTTCTCGTATAGAAACTTCATTTGAATCATTCCATATATCTTCAAATATATATGAAAAAATTCATTTTATTTTAAATAGAACTAATTGAAAACTACTTTAAAAAGTAATTCTGTTTTCTCCTGTGAATAAGGAAAGAATTTCATAATTACTAAAATTTAGAATTTAAAGATAAAATGTTTACCTGAGAAATACATATCTCTTATTCTATCTTGTAATGTTTAGATACAGGACAAAGAATAATATTTTTTTATATTTTTTTATGGGGGAAAACATAAGAGAAAGAATGGTGAGGAGAAAACGTGATACGTAAAGCATAATAAAAGAAAGTATAGTAAGAAAAGTATGCTAAAGTAAGCTTCATAAAGAAGACATGGTACTTTTTCTTAGCATAGAAAGTATGCTAAGACAAAGCGCAGTAAAGAGAAGCATACTAATAAAAAGCATGTTTAAGGGGAAAATGATTCATCATAAGATTATACTTCGTCAGAAATCTCATAATTTAATTATAAGTATGATTAAGATTAATGTTAATTATAATAAATTTATGTGCGAATTTAAAATGATTTCTTAATTAGAAAACAAAATTTAAATCACGCTTTTAAGCTTTAATCCAAAGTAACTCATAAAAAAATGTAAGTTTAGGCTATTTTTAATTCTGTATCTTTTAAGAATATAAATAAAAAATATAATAATTAAAATTATCCATAAAATAATAACTTAATTAACATTTTAAACGAACAGAATTAATTATTTTCTCAATAATTTGTAAGGATTTCAACATTAAATTAATTCAATCGTATTGACATATTGTAAATATTAATAAGTTAATTAATAACATTTTTTTTTNTTAATCGAAATACATGTTACTGTACGAAATGAGAAGAAAATAGGAAAGTAGTTTTACGTTTTCTTCATCATCACTTAAGTCTAATTTCCACATCCGGGATATTAAACGGTAGGAACCTGCAGTGCAATGCTAAGTAATCGCCACACAAGACAGATGTTGTGGCACACGAGAGACTCAAATTCTTCTAAGCAGCCGTCCCCAGATGTACATAATTATAATATTTTAATATATATTTTCTTATTAAAATATTTATTTTTCAAGTAATATATTGATATGGGGTAAGTACAATATAACATTTTCGAAAGAACATACTAGTAATTTATATCAATAAAAATTATATAAATTAAATCAAAGATTTTCTTTAAATTTTTAGAATTAAAGGATAATTACTTTATATATTCGAGTAGGTATCATAGGAAGAGTAAGATGAAAAATTTCTAAAAACACGGATAGAGGGATGAAAATGTAGGGATTTTTTAAAAGAAATCTTCGTGTATCTAATTATGAATAGAAGAGAGATTGAGCACGGATGGAAGACACCACGTGTCATCTTTTGTTCACTGTGTGTAGTTTTCCCCCAATTGGAGCACGAAACACGAAATATGTCACGTCACGTTTTGCAAGTGCTCTTTAAACTAGAGATTAATTATAACCGAGGAAACTACGAATCAATTGATGAACTGTACACGTTCTATCATACCTTGTTAATATAATATGCAAATAAAAAGCTAGCAAATGCTTTAGGAAATATTTTAATTGAAAAAGCAAACAAATACTGTACTGCATTACGTTCCGAGTGAATTTTCTTTCTTTTTGTTTTCTTTTTTAATGAAAATTTAAAATTAAATTTACATAAATATAGAGTAAATAAAATTGTTAACGTTAGTTTAATCAGAAAGTTAATTTGGAATTGGTATGGACGAAAATTAAGTAGGTATGAATGAAAATTAGATAGGTATACGTGGAAATCGAATACGTATGCATTGAAAGTAAACAGGAAATGCATAAAATTAAGTAGGTAAGGTTATAGATTAAATAGGTATAGTCTTATTTATTAATTAAATGGATGAGGATGGAAATTAAGTAGGTATGAATAAGAAATAAATGGGTATGGGTGTAAGTTAATTAGGTACTTAAATACCTTGAAAATTCATAACTTAATTTATGATTATATTTGATTTTTTTTAGATTTTTCTAATTATAGCTTAGTAATAAATGTATATTGTTAAATATTTCTAAAAAATCACATTAACAAGCCGAATACTCGTTAGAGAATATAGGAACCACCCAACAGTTGACCTTGATGTTGTATAATATAACAGCTTCTTATCACTGTTACGATCTTAGCTTATCACAATTTATTCTGTAAGGAAACGGGATAAATTATGACCTTTTAACTTAACAAATTAACTACTTAAGAGATTTTATATGCGTTAAAATATTCTAGGAGTTAATAGTCGCACGCGATAATAATAATAATAATATAAATAAAACACGTGCGAACTCGATCTCTATACTTAAAAAAGTGTTTATGTAATGTCCTTGTCCTTCCAAACATATTCTGCTCTTACTTAATGTAGGTGGTAACCTTGTATCAACTAAATCTACCCATGGATCATGTTTTCATCCATAAGCGATCACTCTGATGGGTAAACAGAATTGGGTCTATCAATCTATTGGCAAATAAAGCTATGCTTATCACGAAACAGAAGTAAATATGTGGTCCTTTGGATTTTATGATGGATCCCTGAAGGTTCCTGTTGTTGCAATAAGAAAAAGAAGGAATATATTGTGTTGCAATTATAAAAATTAGGTCAGAGGAAGATAAAGAAGAGTTAAAAACAAGTAAAAAGTATCACTTCACTGAAGATTTTTTGAAAAAACAGTAATAAAAAAGCTTTGATTGTCCAAATGATCATCCAACAAGATGAAAGAACTGCATTGTTGATAGATATAACACTTTTGTGGTGGGTCGATTCGTTTCTTTGTTGATAATAAAAAATAGGGCAAATATAACTGTAAATTATTAAGTTTATTAAGAAATTGAGTGGTTAAAAAATATAATACCACACGATGTGCTTCTTTAAGTTTAATTCGAGAATCTACGATTGCAAACAGTCAAAACTTATTATATACACATTATATAGAATAACAATAGGGGGATAAAGGTAGATATTAATTAGCCTTAATCCTTAAATTATAGCATTAAACAATGTCGCGAATGATAATTTACGGATTAGTTTCGATCGATGATTAAATTAAATTAATGTGTTTGTACTTTATTTATAACAAACTTTTTTCATTTTTCAACTCGTACACATACACACATCTGTTTAAATGTTATTAAAGACTTAAAAAATGATCCATCACGTGTAATACAGTTATTAAAAACCAGGATGATCTTTCCCATCGAACGTACTTCGATAGAAGTGATAATACGATTCGCACTTATAAATTTGGAAAAAAATATCCCAAGGGACCACCCAACACGGTACCATAACTCTAAGTAACTCTAACCAGAAATCACCAAGAAGTGCGTCAGAATGACGTCACAATCACCCCGGCAACCACAGCAGGGTTCTGGCTTCGTTCGCCAGGTGGTGCCACGCGTCTTAGTTTGGGAGTAGAGGGTCTGCGCGCGGGAAGAAAGGATTTATTAGTGGGTTTCGGCCACTCCGAGCCACTACTTGTGTTTGGTATCGTCCGAAGTGGCGCGCTTTTGGGATTTCATGAGCAACCAAACACAGGTGAGTATCTTCTATCCCTCTCGCTCTACACTCCTTTTTTTTTTTAAACTCGATCCACAAGGTTTAAGTGAAGTACGAAAACTTCTACACCCTGAAAAATCCAGTTATTTTCTGATTATTAAAACATTATTCGATACAGGTAGAGGTGGATTTAGTTTCGTGATATTTGCGAACGACAAGCGGTCGACAGATGCCGTCGTTCACACAATTTCGTGACGTCTTCTCTTTAGTTTTTTTTTATATCTACATCCCCCTCGTATACTCTGTTATTCGAGTTTGGAAACCACTTTATATAAGAAATATATATATATTTCTCGCTTATTCTTCATAAATTTCCGAATTTCTTGTATTGTTTTCGACTACCCCCGTCTAGTAAACATTCTGTAAGGGTCGACTTTTCTGTAACTATACTAGGAAATAGGTCGAAGGTCGAAGCTTAGTAAATGACAACCCAATGAAAGAACAAGGAAGGGGATGAGAATGGGTGAAGATTAATCGAAATACACGTTACTGTACGAAATGAGAAGAAAATAGGAAAGTAGTTTTACGTTTTCTTCATCATCACTTAAGTCTAATTTCCACATCCGGGATATTAAACGGTAGGAACCTGCAGTGCAATGCTAAGTAATCGCCACACAAGACAGATGTTGTGGCACACGAGAGACTCAAATTCTTCTAAGCAGCCGTCCCCAGATGTACAGTAGCTGAATTTATTGGATCAATAGACTAGTTCCTTTTTTTATTTTTTATTTTTTATTTTACTTCCATCTTGGCTTGAAACGGACAAGATTCGTGAAATATTTATAACACTGCGTCTTCCATTTATAATTTTTTTCTCCCCTGCAACTGCTCCTTTCTTACAAAGTTAAGCTTAGGATTTTTCTTTATCCTTTATCTCGATTTTCGTAATCTTTTTGTCCTGTTAAAACAACTTTCTATGGAAAATACTTATCTAAGAAAACTTTAAAAACTTCTTAAGGTGGATGTTTTACCGACATTTATTATTAAAAAATAAAAAAACATAAACAGTTAATAATAGATTATGCGGTTCTATCACTTACCAAACGTAGGGTTTTACTTTAAAAACCATAAAAAAGAAAAAAGAAAGAAACTACCAAAAGGGTGTATTTCGTTTGAAAAAAATAAAAAAAAANTTATTCTAAAAGGAAAATTTCTCGTTTAAAGCTATGCAAAGCGCATTAAATTAATTTTTAGATAGCTTAATAATAATAGTAATAATAATAATACCTTTTTATAATGAAAAAATCGTACTATAATTAAATAATTTTTAAAAATTTTTAGACACTTTATTTAAAAAAATATTCTATAAATAATTTCAACAATTATTTAAATTTTTTTGAATAAATTTAGATTTAAAAAGTTTAAATTTTTTAAAAATTTTTGCGTGCTATTTTTATTTTATTTTTAATAAAAATTTACTTTAATTTGACTTAAAACTGGTCATAATAATATTTAATTTTAAAAATATTTATGAAAATATGATATTCACATTAATTTGAATCAATTTTATATAAAAATCAAGGAAAGTTGACGACTTCTTATCTACGTTTAAGCAAAGGCATCTGGTTTTGTATCAAGGATGACAATCTGAAACCAGATAAAAATACTTGTAAAGTAAAGAAAATTATTTCAGGATGTTAAAATATATAAAATAATGGGAAGTTTTAACATATTTTTATAATTATTCGTCATTAATGTGAAGGATTATAAATACAGAAGTGAAGGAACTCGCAAGTTTTCCATATTTTGCGATACATTTCTGTTAAATTCTAATGATTTCTAAATAAATTATATTTTGCATTAATTAACTTTAAAGTTTAGATCCGATTGTATTACTTTATTTAAAGATTTGAGGATTATACAATTTCATTATAATTAAATTAAGATAATTATCGAAATAAGGTTATCTTTTGTCTTTTCACACGATTCTTTGCTTATAAAATACATTCGTAAACACAATTTTCCATTATTAATCACTAGATTTTCGTATTTTTTAAAAATTTAACTGGAAAAATATCAAATTTTACAATTTAATTCGGTTGTTAAGATGTTATATAATATTATTCATTATTTTATTTTAATTAGTAGAGTTCAGCAGAAGTAGAAATAAAAAAAAATAATAATGAAGAACTGTCACGTACTTCTTCGACATTAATTATATGCTTACATAATTATCAAAAACTTATTCCTGTAATTCTAAAAAAACAAAAAAAATTCTATAATATTAACATATAAAAAATTAACAACTTGTTCCATTCATTCATAAACGTAGGCGGAGTGTGTTTTTTTGGAGGGTGATTTACAGACTTCCTGAAAGTTTCTGTATTATTATACTTTAATTAAGAACATTAATAACTGTTATTGATGTTATATAATGCCTAATATACCCATTTATTTAAATAATATAAAGAAATCTGATTGTACACATCGAATGTTGATCGTTGCGTAGTTCTTAGTTAGGATTATTTGAGGATTGATTTCCACGTCCATTAGTTCTGTTGGAGGATTAATGATAGTCCAAAACTAATTAACTGTTTCCCTAATTTATATTTAAATTTACTCTCTGCACGTGAATTAAGTATCGAGAGAATCAAATATGTCACTTCCTTTCGAATCTTACATCCTATACATATTATCATTTATACAGTTTAAGCTAGTGAATAGCCCAGTAGATCGCGACTTACCAATTGAAGAACACTTTATATAGTCATTCTATAGTTAAGCAACGATTCACGATGCTGTTCTTACACTAAAAAGAGTGCTGTCTGTCTGTCTGACTGACTGACTGACTGGCATGAATTTTATATACATTGCATTATTAAAAAGTCCATTTATTTTAAGTGCACCCTGAGTAGTTCTGTTTAGAGTGGTTATATATAGTAACTACATACTTTTTGTCGTGTAAATTTTATATATTTTACAAGAATTTTCGATGCTAATTCGTGGAATTCCAAGCATTTAAATTGAGGATCGAGTAAGAAGTATGTAAATAACCCTTTTGATATTATGCAATATATTTTAAAATACATCTTATTAAAGTATGCCAGTGATTTTTCTATAAGAGAACGATGAAATTTGATAAATAGGAATTTTGATATGGGTCTTACAAGTGTTATTAATGCTTAATGATGCAAAGTGGAATCTGAGAATATATAATTGATTTACATGTGCACGTGTATAAATCTTCAAATTCCACTTCCACGAACATTAAGATAGCAACATTAGCAGAGTGTTTGGTTCATTAAGCGTTAACAACTTTACTTCTAAAAATTTCATGAATACTCTCCCATGTGACGTAACGGAGATGTACTTCTTTCATATCGAATTTCTTTGGGTTAATAAATTAATCTTTCTTTAAAATTATGATTGAGATCTTTAAAAAAATTTTCTTGATAATTTACATAATATTCTAACATTTAAGCTTATTTCTGAAACATTTTTAACTTCGTTTATTTATTTACTAATTAAATAGCGAACTAATTTACTTCCTATCTGATTAATTTTTGATTTAATAATCGAGTTTCGTCTATATATAGGGTCATTTTGCTACTGTAATTGGAAGGATTTACTCCTTAGAAATCTTACTCCCTGTAGGTTACTAATGAGTTTACCAGATTTTTGCATTATTCTTTTATCTATGGGCTAAGACAAACTATAGGGAAAAGGTACTCATTCTTGAGGGAATAAGGAAAATTATAGGGCAAAGACTCCTTGCTCCTATAGTCCTGATTACAAGAGCGAGAAGTCTTACTCCTCTGATCGTCTTTCAAGTACTCTTAGGATTAGGATTTCCAAAGTAAGGAATCTTTACTCATTAGATTTCTTCTATAATTATAATTTACCTTACTAATTAAGATTAAGAAATTTAACCTTGGTTTATGATTAGAAAAATGTTCATTAGAATATTCTATTCGATATAGGCCTACTCTATATTTCTGAGATTAAATTTCACTTATTAGAAAATTTTATATACGTTACACATGGCATCAAATAACATGACTTGATCTTATACATCCCATGTAAATTTACTTCTATTTTATATCTATTCTAATAATTAATCATACGACTTAACGAGGTTTTAAATTTAGTTTTAAACTCATTTATTCCGTATTAATTTAAAGTTTAAATAGAGATCGAAATAAAATCTATAAAAGATCCTTATGTGAAGAGGATAGAAAAGTAAGCAAATTAATCATGCGACCATATGAGAAAGAGTATCTATATTCTTATCAAATGGGAGGAAAAAAAATACGGAAGTATCGTTTTGCATGCATTAGATGGGGGAGAAAAGAACAAGAGAACTACAGATTGCCCGCTGCAAAGGCTAAAAGTCACTTACAATCACGTGACACTCAATTCCGAAAATAAACTCAACCCCGCTCGGGATTTCCACTTGACATTGTTTATTAAGTAACAATGCACCTATAACGTCATCAAAATCTAGGCCAATCGTAATGCTATTTTTTAAAATAATTATATTTATATAAAAATATATTATGCTAAGCGAGAACTGCATTTTATCTTCGTTTAAATGCGTTTATTTTTGGAAAAATGCGGATAAATTACAGCTTGAAAGTTTTATAGAAAGAGAATTATTCACTATTTATTAATATAAAAGGTTTTAATTTAAAAAAGAATTAAGAGAATAACATTAATTTTCGTGTTTCTCTACTCCACCCATTTCAAGAACTCAATGTGTAGAACGGATAAAGTCTGATATTTCTTTTTTTATTTTATTTTGACAAATATATAATTTAAAATATGTGAAAATTTCTTTAAAAATCTGTACAATTTTCTCTTTAAAATTGTATTTATACATTATAAAATAAATAAACTTCTGCCTTAATATTAATATACAATTTCCTCGTTAAATGTTAAGAAAATACTCTAATTTCACCATATAAAATGTAGAGATTTATAAAGTATTTTTAAAAAATGATTAAAGAATATATTTAAACATAGTTTTGATTTTAAAAATT